CATAGGTAGAAGCAAGGAGAAGACAGACAATACCCGTGAAGAATTCAGGAAAATAATTCAAGAGAAAAATGACAAAATAAATACACAATTAGAAATCATACAAAAGCCATAATTAGAAATCTAGAAGATGAGTATTAAAATTACAGAGATACATAACACAGAGGAATGACAAAAGGGTAAATTCAAAATGGCTGAAGAACACATTTCTCAGCTAGAAGACAAATCCCTCAATGTCAGCTTGTACAAGGAAAAATCAGAACAAAGATTTAAGAGAAATGAAGAAAACTTAAGAGTTATAGGGGATAATTGCCCAATCTTCCTTCCAAGGAGTGACTGGTGGGTTTGAACAACCAGCCTTCTGGTTGGCAGTCAAATGCCTTAGGTACTACACCACATAAAAGACCCAGGGCAAGAGAGAAACAGATAAGGATTAGGTGCTTCTAGGTCATTAAGGCTAAAGCAGAGAGGAAGGTTGGGAAGAGAAGAAGGAATAGCCTATTCTAAAGTTTAATTAGGGGCTCTGGTGGCATAGTGCCTAAGGCATGTAACTGCTAACCAGAAGGTTGTTGGTTCTAAACCCACCAGTCACTCTGTGGAAGGAAGATGGGGCAATGTACTTATTTAAAGATTTACAACCCCAGAAACCCATGGGGGGGTCACTGAATTGACTTGATGGCAGTACCTGGAAGGTAGTGATGGCTCTGCAGAAGGCCCTTTCATTGCTTCTGCTGTTGCTGCTGACCGTTCTGGGGCTGGGTCTGGTGCAGCCCTCCTATGGCCAGGATCGCATGTACCAACAGTTTCTGCGGCAACATGTGGATCCTGAGGGGACTGGCAATGATGGCTACTGCAACTTGATGATGCAAAGATGGAAGATGACTACACACCAGTGCAAGTGCTTCAACACCTTCATCCATGAAGCCATCTGGAACATTCATAGTATCTGCAGCACCACCAATGTCCAGTGCAAGAATGGCAAGATGAACTGCCATAAGGGTGTAGTGAAGGTCACAGATTGCTGGGAGACAGGAAGTTCCAGAGCTCCTAACTGCAGATATCAGGCCAAAGCCAGCACTAGGCAGGTTGCCATTGCCTGTGAAGGTAATTCGGAGGTGCCTGCGCACTTTGACAAATAAACAAATGCCATCCGGCAGCAGTTAGGACATGATGTTTGGCCTTCAGATTACTCCTTGAATAACAGTGAGGAATGCACTTGTGCTGGCCCAGGTTCTGCCTCCTCTGTTTATTTCTTAATCTTTTTTTCTGTATAACCCATTCCATTAAATGCATTGCATCAACGAGGAATGCAGACATGAAACTATCATGAGCCTGGGCTTTTTTGTAATAAACTTCCTATTACAATACTAGCCAGCTTAGTTAGTGCTCTCAGATCTTACACTCTGAAACTTCATCATTGTCTGTATTTACATAGCATTTCAAACATTTTAAAGTGCTTTCATCTCAGTTATCTCATCTTAATACCATACCATCACTGTGATGATGGTGATGCTATTATATCTAGAAGCTAGAAGTTAAGGGATTTGCTGAAGACCATAAAGTTAGTGGAAGAGCTGAGACAAAAGCCCAGTTTGGTTGGCTACTAAATTCAGGAATTTTTCCACTTCATCACTAGGAATGTTTTTAAAAGTATATGCTTTCTGTTGTTCCCTAAAGTCAGATGTTGGGGGAAGTTTTCAAAAATCTGGAAATATATGTGGGAAAAATGAGAACTCTGCCTGTGCACTTTGGCATCATTGTTATGTTTGGGTCTAATAAGATCAAGAAATGATATAAAGAGTTTTCTCTTTCTCTTCCCAAACTTTTGAATCATCCTAGCAAGTCCATGTACTTGAAAATGTGCTGGACCATTAAGACTCTTTCACTCCTCCTGATTGAGAGATTTTACATATTTTTCCTGTAATGAAGGGATAAATAAACTACACATATCTGACAAGACAAAAAAAAAAAATGAGTTATAGGGGATGACATGAAAAGAAATAACATCAGATACACCTGATTGCATTTCCAGAACAGGAGGAGGCAAACAAACTAAAAACACAAAACAAAATAGAAAAATGTCAAAGACTTGCTAACAGAAAAGTTCCCCATACCAGGAAAGAAGAAAAGATATCCATCCAAGAAACTTAATGAACCCTATATAGGATGGATCCCAAGAAAAAGTCACCAAGACATATAAT